ACTGAGAGAGAAATGGGACAAACAATTCCTTTCACAATAGCATCCAAAAAATTGAAATACCTAGGAATCAACCTAACAAAAGAAATCAAAGACCTCTACTCTGAAAACTATAGCACTCTGAAAAAAGAGATCAAAGATGATATCAAAAATGGAAAGGCATCCCTCACTCCTGCATAGGAAAAACCAACATAGTGAAAATGGCCATATTTCCAAAACTGCTATATAGATTCAATGCAATCCCAGTTGAAATTCCAGCACATACTTCACAGACCTTGAAAACAAATCCATTCATTTGGAACAAGAAGAGACCTACAATAGCAAAAGCAATTCTAGGCAAGAGAAACATGGCAGGGGGTATCACAACCCCCAACTTGAAACTATACTACAAACCTACTGTGATAAAATCAGCATGGTACTGGCAAAGAAACAGACCTGAGGACCAATGGAACAGATTATAAGATGAAGAAACAACTCCAAACAGTCAGCTATCTCATCTTTGACAAAGGGGCCAAACACCCTCAGTGGAGGAAAGATAGCCTCTTTAATAAGTGGTCCTGGAAAAACTGGGCTTCAACTTGCCACAAATTAAAACTAGGCCTATATCTTTCATCATGAAGTAAATGAAAATCAAAATGGATTAAAGATCTAAATATTAAAACAGAAATGCTGATCTGGCTGGAACAGAGGTTAGGTAGAACTCTGGAAGACATTGGTGTAGGAGGAAAAGATTTTATGAATAAAACCTCAGTTGCCCATGAACTAGCACAAACAATCAACAAGTGGGATCTCTTTTTATTAAAAAGCTTCTGCACAGCAAGTGAAACCACCTACTGTGTGAAGAGACAACCCACAATGTGGGAAAAAATTTTCACCTGCTGTTCCTCAGACAAAGGTCTACTATCTATAATCTATAGAGAACCTTCCAAATTTAAAGACCCAATCCAAAAATGGGCATCTGAAATGAACAGACATTTCTCAGACAAACAAGTAGAAATGGCAAATAAACATGTGAAAAAATGTTCAACATCACTGGTCATTCGAGAGATGCAAATGAAATCAACGTTGAGATTCCACTTCACTCCAGAAAGAATGGCTGCTATCATAAAATCAACGAATAACAAATGCTGGCAGGGCTGTGGGGAAAGAGGAACCCTGCTCCACTGCTGGTGGGAGTGTAGACTGGTGCAACCACTGTGGA